AGACGCATGACTTTTACACAAACCGCTTTGTTAAGCTACGGTTATTTTGGTGACTATTGTGTCCCATTAAGCTACATAAAGTTTGCTTACTCATTTTCAGGGCTGAAACACCTACTGCAGTTGCCCACTCCAGCTTTGTCTGCATGCTTGCCGACATCCTCTGATCTCATTCACTCCTCATGGAGAAGCATTGGGGATAAGATACGCATACCCAGCAAAACATAGCGCTACTCCAGTCAAATGCTTTGCGCAGCATTTGATTGAATGACCGAGTTAATTCTGTTCTGGAGGCCAAAGCCCCACTAGAGATGTACTCAGCACTTCAATGTAACATTTGCTACTTCTACAAATGTTTTACATTGAAGGATTAAAATGTCCAGACCACTTTATTGAACTAGTCCATGTGCCTTTAGTGGTTTCTTAGTGATTCAGACACAGCCATGGTAACCCAGCAGCAGCATTCTGGATCATTGACCAAGCACAGGACTAGAAGGAGCTCTTACTGCTCCCGCTGGAGGGGCAGATATAACATATACTCAATGGACTGCCAGGAGATTTACACATATCTCTCTCCCCCTTCGCTGCAAAGTAAACAGGAAGCAGGCTTCCCCCACTTGTATAATTTGTCAAGAGTGACACTGGACTGACACACACTTTTTTTTACATCATATTTCGGTTCCCAGCATCACCCCAAGGCAGCAGAGCAAGAAGAGCACAGAGATCAGCGCTCCATCACCTCACACTTGCAATACTAGGCAAAATTTATCAGTGGAGATGTTCTTTAACCCCTTAAGGACCAAACTTCTGGAATAAAAGGGAATCATGACATGTCACACAAGGGGTTAACCTCAGGCTTTACCACAAGACAAAGTAGTCCCTACACAGTCCTATGGTATCTTTGGATTGTATTGGAATTTCAATGAAATTCAAAACACAATCTTTATAAAATATTGCAAAGTATCAGAATCGCTTTAAGGGGTGGGTGCAAAAAGAACTTGAACAGGTGGTCTATATTCTCACAAGATAAATATATTAAAATTGATCAAGAAGAGAACCACCTTAGAGAAAAATAAATAAATAAAAGGATGAGTTCACAAATGTACCATAACAACCACTACAAAGTAAGGAGGTTCAGACAGTCTATGTAAAAGGTGGAGTAATGAAGGATAATAGGCCCCAGAAAAAAAATACATGTTTCTAAAACAGAACAAACTAAAACAATACTGTCTTCAATAAGGGTGAAAATCTTCAATTACAAAGCCTCCTGACAAACGTCTGAGAATCCAACAAGAAAACAGTCTCACTGATTCACTATAGAATGTTTGCACCGAGTATTTAAACTGGTCAGTCGTATGAGCGGCCGTGATGAGTCACAGCGCGGGAACAGGTAGAATCCAGAATGCATTCTATAGCCATCTTCACATACTATCCATGTTGGACTTTATCAAGATGTAAAGCATAGACGCCCTCTACTGGGTATTGCATATATAGCAGGTGGAAAATTAATGTGCTGAATAAAATACTCGGCACATATTAAATAGTCAAATTAGTCAACAATTGAAAATAGCAAATGCTAAGCAATGTTTAATAACAGAATTCCAATGGATATGGACAATAGCTCCATAACTCCCTACCCCAAGAGCAAATAAATCCACAAATAATATAGATCCATGCTGTCATTAATAATCACATACTCACATGGCATAAATAAAAAAAATATATAGTGCACAAATTATAACATCATAAAGTTAAGTGTTCTCAAGCTTATATATCCATCTAGTCTCTCTGCATTCTTGTGCAGGTATTGAATTGTTCAATCAGAAAAACTATTTGGGTGAATGAAATTGCATTCATTGATGTGTTGGTTTGTCTGAATTTTGTTTGCAATAAAAATATGCAACATTTTAAATCTCTCACTCATTAGTAAAGTTTGAGTCCCCCGCAGCCCTCAACCATGAGCGACAGGTGGGCTCCAATTATAACAATACAGGGGAAGGGACCTAATGTTGCCCTCAGCTCCCACCTGTGGGCCACGAGTGGGGCTATTAAATATTAACCCAAGTAGAGACTTAAAAATGCTCCCCTAGCCACACCATCCAATATGAAATACTTACCAGCTCCCCACACCTTAATAAAACCTGGGGAGGCAATAAACAAAGTTCCTATTAAACCCTTATATTGTGTAAAAACCATATTGAATAAAAAATATATAAATATATATTGTACTTTTTTTTTTTTTAATTCTTTATATTTAACTTACGAGTGTGAGATATCAAGTTTAACAACGTACCATGAGACATTGACGGACAATATATAAATGTTTGTGCAGACATCAATATACCGTGTCCCGATAAATTAACCCGCGAGTTACGTTTTTATATTTTAAATAGCTGATGAACAGTGAGTTAGGCAGTCTAGTGACCGGGCGTGTGATTAGGGAGCCATATGCTAGTCTTTACTGTTGGTTGGCATACTTTAGGGTCAGTAATGAAAGTGCCTAAACTTTGAACATATTAGGCCAGTATTTCAAAGCAACTTTCAGGATTTACGAGAAAACATCTCTGAATTATTGATAGTATGTACATTATGGAAGTGTGCCCACTGTCAAGCTGGTAGGCAGCGCAGGAAAGCTCAAGGGATTCGGGCAGCAGGTAAAAGCCTATAAATTTATAGATTTAACGCCTCTCAACTCTATAAATCAGTGCCTCTGGTCTAAAACGGATGGATAGGTGGTGGTGGGGGGGGGGGAAGTACATATAAGATACACTTGTCTATGGGTAGGCCTGGTACGTACAATTTAAAGTATAAAGTTACAAATCAAATCAAACGGAAAACAAACTTCAAACCTCAAGTATCATAAAACTTTGACTATAGAGTTTGGGGTCAAGCCAGTGTCCAGTAGGGCTCTCCTCGGTATGAACTGTGTGATCTTTGCCGGGTCCCATCTTTGTGCTGCTGGAGTATTCGCTTGGGGACCCTTTTGTGAAAAAGAGAAACATAGAAACATAGAAACATAGAATGTGACGGCAGATAAGAACCATTCGGCCCATCTAGTCTGCCCAATTTTCTAAAAACTTTCATTAGTCCCTAGCCTTATCTTATAGTTAGGATAGCCTTATGCCTATCCCATGCATGCTTAAACTCCTTTACTGTGTTAACCTCTACCACTTCAGCTGGAAGGCTATTCCATGCATCCACTACCCTCTCAGTAAAGTAATACTTCCTGATATTATTTTTAAACCTTTGTCCCTCTAATTTAAGACTATGTCCTCTTGTTGTGGTAGTTTTTCTTCTTTTAAATATAGTCTCCTCCTTTACTGTGTTGATTCCTTTATATATTTAAATGTTTCTATCATATCCCCCCTGTCTCGTCTTTCCTCCAAGCTATACATGTTAAGATCCTTTAACCTTTCCTGGTAAGTTTTATCCCGCAATCCATGAACCAGTTTAGTAGCCCTTCTCTGAACCCTCTCTAAGGTATCAATATCCTTCTGAAGATACGGTCTCCAGTACTGTGTACAATACTCCAAGTGAGGTCTCACCAGTGTTCTGTACAATGGCATGAGCACTTCCCTCTTTCTACTGCTAATGAAAAGAGTCCTCTGGTAGGCCCAGGGCACCCAGGAGTGCTGCTGCTCCCTGTAGAACTTGTTTTGGACTGTGTGGGCAACGTCTCTGTGTTGGATTTGTAGGGAGCGTGGGGAACACCACCGGTACTTGAGGCCACTGGTCCTCAGTAGGGCAGTGAATGGCTGCATGGATTTTCTCCACAGCAGTGTTTCCCCGGAGAGGTCTGCATAGAACGTGAGGTTCATATTTTCAAAAGAATATGACAGTCCCCTTGAGGGCTGTCTGAACTGCCTCTTTATCCGCATTATTGCGGAATCGCACAACTCAGTCTCCGGGTGCCGTTGCCGGTGGTCTATGGAACTTTGGAATTGGAAAGACGCTGTCAAATGTAATGTTTCTGGCCTGCTTGGATGCCAGGAGAGCCCCTATCAGCCCTTGCAGAAGGTGTGGGAACTCTTCCGTGGATACATCCTCTGAGACACCCCTGATCTTCAAATTATTGCGGCGCCTCATGTCTTCTAGTATAGCAAATCGCTGCACTGTGTTTGCTTGCTGTTTCTTTTTTAGGGTTTGTACCTCTTGTTGAAGCTCTGCAAGGGACTGAGCATGTTTTTACGATGTGGTTTCTACTGTTCCCAGGCGATTTACAAGGCCTGTTAGGTCAGTACGTAGTAGTGCCACATCATCCTGAATGGTCTTCTGAAGGGCACCAAGCAGGTCTTTCAGCATCTCATCTGTCATTGGTGTGGTGTCCCCACTCTGATGAGTAGCTTGTGGCTGTAGGGGCAGTGGCAGCCCGATATTTCCTCTGTCCGTGGTCAGCTGCTCTGAGGAGTTAGAAAAGCCCTCTATGTTGGCGACCATCTTGGGCCTATAGGCATTCTGCGCCTGTCGAAATAAATCTCTGATGTGCATGGTAGTGCTCAAAAATAAAATATATCAAAGTTGGCCTATTGAGGGTTCTGCACAGACTAAACTTACACAGAAGGAAAAGCCCTTGTAAACCAACCACACCAAGTTAGGAGAAAAGAGTTTAATTTTTCATTCACCCAAAAACTAATGTCCAAAACGATTTAAAAGTGATTTCCTTCCTTATCAGCATGAGAGCCTAAAGGGGCAGTTAAGTCTATGCACATCACATATAAAGAGAAGGATCTGCATTATGTACCCACCTAAAAGTGTAGAAAAATGGCTATCCGAAGAAGAGTGGACATGGACAATGCTCTGATTGTTGCCCTGACAAATGTGTGTATGATGTTTTCTGGTTGTGTGCAATATGTGTGTATTTGTGAAGTTTAACGCAATAAAATAAAAATAAGTGACTGTGCTTCAATAAATGGTATTAAATTAAATTAAATTTCAATAAACAAAGATTTTTTGTTTTAAGATTTTACTCACATTTAGCATGCACAAGGTTTTTAATCATATCCTTACTTCCATTCAATGGAAAAGGCTAATTTGGTCACTTGTTCCTTAAAAGCCAGGTAGTAAGTCTGACAACGTTCACCAACACGTAATATTTCTTTCACCATCATGCTCCAGTTTGCAAAAACGTAGGTCTGCCACTGTTTGCGAATGCGTAATATTTCATTCGTTACCATTCCCAAGTATGGTGAAACATAGCCAGCTGCTGTTACTATAATATTAGTCAGATACAACATGACTGCATGAGTGTATTCTTCTATGGCCATGTCACAGAAATATCCTAAAAACAATGCCATCCCCATGGTGGCAAAAATCAAGCCTGCAGCAGACACAATCCAAAATAAGTGTGGGATTTTTGACCCCATGTTATAATTCCTTGTGGGGTATTGTGTTCGCAAACAGATCTTATCCAAGTCTGCAAGTTTGCTGTTATTCCATGCACTTATATCAATATCCAACTTCATCAAAACAGGGCTGACTATGTCATCAGATGGTAAGGGTATTTCCTTCATTAAGCCAATCTTCTCCTTAAATTCTTCAATGTGATGTTGAAACAGAAGCCAGTCAGATGTTGTCTTAAAATCTTTAGCAATTTTGTAGATGTTTATCTCCTCATTCAGCCCTTCTTTTATTCTGTTGATCTCTAGATCATATGCCTGTGCTATTACACATTCTATGGAATGAACCTCAGCGAGAATCTCAGTTTTTTTCTTCTGAAGAGTATGTTGCAGTTGTTTGAAATATGCCTCCACTTTATCACACTCCATAGATAGTGATTGGAGAACTTCTTGCTTATTTGCTTCCAGAGTTCTTAGGTTGGAGGTCACATCACAATATAGATTTTCAAATCCTTCAATCAAAGTCAAAAAGGAGCTTTTCTCCTGGTCATAAGCGTCATTAATAGAAGAAAAGGCATGTTGTTTGTGTTCCTCGCTAGTAGCACAATATCCACATATGAGTTTTCGATCTGTTGCACAAAACATATTCAGTGGTTGCTCTCTATGTATGTCGCATACAGGGGTCTTTGGAGAAGCTTGGATTCTATTATATTTTTCAATAATTCCTTTTAGTGGATGGTTAACCTGGAATCCATGAACATCTGATATTAAAGACTCCTTACGGCAAAAGGGACATTTTACAGATGTTGGTCTCAATGCCACATTCATCACACTTCTAGAATTGTTTTCACAGATCCTTTCCAAGCATTTATTGCAGAAAGTGTGGGAACATGATAACAGTCTGGGGTCTTCAAATAAGTTACAGCAGATGGGACACGTGAGATCTTCCTCCATGATCGTGACTGAATTTTTCAATTTAGGAAAAAAAGGCACAGAGTCTTTGTGTCTGGTCCCGGAGTTGTTCAAATTCATGTTTCATGCAGCAGTATATATCCCAAGTACACAAAAATGTCAGCATGCACAATCAGTGTTTCAGCTAAATGCAGTCACCTTTGCCTTATAGATAATTTTATAGGCAGTGCTGATGACATCAAATGATGAACAATGAGGTGCCCTCTGTTTGGTGGCATCATGGATGACATAACAATTGGGAAAATATGCTGTTGTATCTTGAAACTGCTAGAGGAGAACTAAAATCCTTTCTGGATGAGAATCTTATCAGTACCTATATTTTATATCTTTGAAAAGCAAAATATATTTCCACCTAACACTTTTTTTAAATGTAATTATTTTTTTTTTTTAGAAATCTGTGTATTAGGACGTTTAAGGAAGGAACCAGTAGCTGGAGATTTATTAAAGTGTTACTGTCACTTTTACGTCTAATATCGATACATTTTTGGCATTATATATCACATCTTTTTTTCCATCTGTTGTGCTTTAGAAGAACACGCCAGACCCCACTTTAGCTTGCTGAAAAGCATTGTGTGAAGAGTATGCCCTCTTTTTGTCATTTTGCCAAAAGTGCAGATTTCAATAGAAATTTACACTTTTATAAATTAACGTGGTTACACCCCCTTGGGTTTCAAGCAGACAACCAATCCTGTTACATCATGGTTCAGTTAGCTCAGTGGAGCTAAAATCAAGAGGCAGCAACTGCCAAGAGCACCTGCCTTGCAAAGACTTCTCATTGAACTGCATTGGGAAGTCTGTGATTGGACAGCCACATATAATCTGGGAAGGGTTAGAAGGGGATGTTTTGCAAAAGCAGCAGACAAGATAGCTGCAGGTTTTGCAAGCTGTTTTGAATACACCCCAAAAAATGCTTTAATAAATGCATGCAAGGGTATATCTACTAAACAGTGAATTTGACTTATTTTGTATTTAGGCAGTGGGTTGTCCCTTAAACTGTCATTTTTGAATGTAATCAATTATTTTCAGACATTTGTTACTCCACTCTAAATTTTGAGGTTTTCTGAAAACTGGCAGAATCTTTTTTGAAGAAAGTTGTCCCATTTAATCACTTTCAGAACAGTTTATTGTAAGGGTTGGAACATGGTAGATCCCCAGATACTGTAAAACTGCAACTTCCATAATGCTTTGTCATTCTAAAGTGTGGCAAAGTATTATGGCAGTTGTAGTTCTACAACATCTGCAGATCTACCTTTTGCCCAGCACTACTTTAATAAAGAAGATCAAAATACTGTTGTGGTCAAAAATCCACTGGTGCTTTCTTACCTTGTGTTAAACTGCTTTTAAACAATCTATGGAGTTTGAAGTGTTCTTTTAAGTGGGGTTCCCATATAGTTTGAGAAGCAAGCTAAAGGTCAGGTACTACAACATTAAGTTGCAACTAAAGTAAAAACCAGAGTCAAACTAAGATTTTAACTGATTATTGTATACTTAGAAACAGGGCCGGACTGGGGGAAAAAATCCCACCCGGGCATTTTTTTAAAACAGCGGCCCACTGAGAAGGGGGAAGGGCCAGAGAGGGGTGTGTTTTGTCATCACCAATGACAAGCATGCCCCCTCTCAAAGTGAGCATGTTGGTTCAATGCTCTTCCAGGGCAGCCCATGTGCAGAACCTTGGTGAAGAGCTCTTGCATGAGAAAAAGGCCCAGTATTTGTTCTGAGCACAGTGGCGGATCCAAGGGGGGGGGGGGGCAACGGGGCAATTGCCCCCCCCGAGAATACCGACGGTCTCCCTCTCCCTCCCCTGCCAGCCCTGCAATGTGCCTGCGGACCGGAGGGGAGATCACAGATCTCCCTCCCCGGTCCGCAGGCACTGTGCTGACAGCCGGCAGGGGAGGGAGAGGGAGGACCCGGAGCTCAGCCTGCAGCTCCTCCGGGTCCTCCTCTCGCGAGATTTGGAGCATTGCCGCGGTTACCACGGCAACGCTCCAAATCTCGCGAGAGTGAACTCTAGCCCGGGAGCGTGGGCTAGAGTTCACTCTCCCCACTGGGACCACCAATGAATCCCCCACCGGACCACCAGGGACTAAGAAATGTCCCCCCCTCCCCCCAGTAAAGGTAAGAAGGGAGGAGGGACATAAAAATATTTTAAATAAAAAAATATATATAAAAAAAAAGCCCCCATACCCTTATATCACACACACACACACACTGCCCCAATACACCCACACTGACCCCCATACACCCACACTGCCCCATACACACACACACTGCCCCCATACACACACACTGACCCCCATGACTGCCCCCATACACACACTGCCCCCCATACTGCCCCCTCATACACACACACTGCCCCCATACACACACACATACACTGCCCCATATACACACATTGCCCACACTCACACATACACTGCAATACTCACACACACACTGCAACTGTTACACACACATACTGTCCCACACATACACTGCATCCCTGACATACACTTCCGCTCTCACACACGCTCACACACTGTCCCCCTCACACACACACTGCACCCCTTACACATTGCACCACTGACACACACTACTGCTCCTATGCACTACTACAGCCCCATTTCCCAGCAGACCTCAGGTAAGTTGTCAAACTGTTCTTAAACGGTTTGACTACTTACTCTGGGAGGGGGTCCTGGCACTATAGACACCATAACCACTACACTGAGCTGTAGTGGTTATTGTGTCTGGATTATTTCTTTAAATAATCTACAAGTGCCCCTCCCGAGATCAGGCTCTGGATCCGCCACTGTCTGAGCAGCGCAAGTAAACCTCTCAACATGCTTGCACTGTGTTTGTGACTTGTCTCTGGTGTCTCTATAAGTGGGATACCAGAGGACAAAAGTAAAGGATATAGTGCATGTGCTTCGAGTCTGCTTGTGGGTTTGTGTGTGTAGAGTGAGTCGATTGCGGTGTGTTGTTTTATGTAAATAGGTCGGTTTTAGTTGTGTTGTAATATGTGTGGCTAGGTGCTGTAGAGAGTGGGGAAAAAAGAGTGTGTTTATAGGGTGCATAGTGTGTATAGGGGATGTAGTGAGTGTGTGCATTGGGGCTATAGTATATGTATGTGTAGGTGATGTAATGTGTGTAGTGGTTGTAAAGCGTTAGGGAATGTAGTGTGTTTGCTTATAGGGGATCTAGTGTGTGCACAGAGGATTCAGAGTGTGTGTGTGTGAAGGGTGCAGTGTGGCATTGTGTGTGTGAAGGGTGAGGTGTGTGTGTGTGAAGGGTGCAGTGTGTGTAAGAAGAGTGCAGTCATTGTGTGTGTGTGTGTGGTGCAGTTAGAGTGGTGGGAAATCCATGGTGGCCACAGTGGTGAGTGAGTGAGTGAGCTCGCACGAGGCAATCCTCCGACCTTGCGAGAGAAACCCGGCCGAGCTGTGAGCTAATAGCTCCCGGGTCCTCTGCACTATCCCTTCCTCCTGCCGGTTGTCCTGTAAAGTGCCTGTGGGCACCCCACCGGCCCCTGCAGGCACACAGCAGGGCCGGCTCTCCAATAGCACAGGCTCTGTATGGGCCGGCGGGGAGATCTCTTGCTCTCCCTTGTGAGCCTCGGCTCATGGCCATCGCAGCCCACCGGGCATTTGCCCAAAATACCCGATGGCCATTCCGGGCCTGCTTAGAAAGGACCTGCAAGCCATAAAAGATCTGGATGACAAGATCAACTTCAGTGCGGTAGACAACCTTAATGAAACTTAACTGTGCTGGCAATTGGAGTGTAAACTAAAGTAACAAATTCTTGGTTTTGACTTTCCTAACAACGTGGAGTATATGAACAGAGCAGGGCCTATCTATACATGAAAAAAAATGCTTTTTTAGAACTCTGCACACATGTCCTGTGGGCAGCTGAATACACTCACAGATATAGTGCCATATTCGATCCATTTATGGGCTAATCAATGTACTGCCATATATATAGATAATACACTGCTCAAAAAAATAAAAGGAACACTTAAACAACACAATGAAACTCCAAGTCAATCACACTTCTGTGAAATCAAACTGTCCACTTAGGAAGCAACACTGAGTGACAATCAATTTTACATGCTGTTGTGCAAATGGGATAGACAACAGGTGGAAATTATAGGCAATTAGCAAGACACCCCCAATAAAGGAATGGTTCTGCAGGTGGTGACCACAGACCACTTCTCAGTTCCTATGCTTCCTGGCTGATGTTTTGGTCACTTCTGAATGCTGGCGGTGCTTTCACTCTAGTGGTAGCATGAGACGGAGTCTACAATCCACACAAGTGGCTCAGGTAGTGCAGCTCATCCAGGATGGCACATCAATGCGAGCTGTGGCAAGAAGGTTTGCTGTGTCTGTCAGCGTAGTGTCCAGAGCATGGAGGCGCTACCAGGAGACAGGCCAGTACATCAGGAGATGTGGAGGAGGCCGTAGGAGGGCAACAACCCAGCAGCAGGACCGCTACCTCCGCCTTTGTGCAAGGAGGAACAGGAGGAGCACTGCCAGAGCCCTGCAAAATTACCTCCAGCAGGCCACAAATGTGCATGTGTCTGCTCAAACGGTCATAAACAGACTCCATGAGGGCCCGACGTCCACAGGTGGGGGTTGTGCTTACAGCCCAACACCGTGCAGGACGTTTGGCATTTGCCAGAGAACACCAAGATTGTCAAATTCGCAACTGGCGCCCTGTGCCCTTCACAGATGAAAGCAGGTTCACACTGAGCACATGTGACAGACGTGACAGAGTCTTGAGACGCCGTGGAGAAGGTTCTGCTGCCTGCAACATCCTCCAGCATGACCGGTTTGGCAGTGGGTCAGTAATGGCGTGGGGTGGCATTTCTTTGGGGGGGCCACACAGCCCTCCATGTGTAGCCTGACTGCCATTAGGTACCGAGATGAGATCCTCATACCCCTTGTGAGACCATATGCTGGTGCGGTTGGCCCTGGGTTCCTCCTAATGCAAGACAATGCTAGACCTCATGTGGCTGGAGTGTGTCAGCAGTTCCTGCAAGATGAAGGCATTGATGCTATGGACTGGCCCGCCCGTTCCCCAGACCTGATTCCAATTGAACACATCTGGGACATCATGTCTCGCTCCATCCACCATCACGTTGCACCACAGACTGTCCATTAGTTGGCAGATGCTTTCGTCCAGGTCTGGGAGGAGATCCCTCAGGAGACCATCCGCCACCTCATCAGGAGCATGCACAGGCATTGTAGGGAGGTCATACAGGCACGTGGAGGCCACACACACTACTGAGCCTCATTTTGACTTGTTTTAAGGACATTACATCAAAGTTAGATCAGCCTGTAGTGTGTTTTTCCACTTTAATTTTGAGTGTGACTCCAAATCCAGACCTCCATGGGTTGAAAAATTTGATTTGCATTTTCTCATAATGGAGATCCTACACTTCTCTCATATTGTGGTATAGAAAGGGTAGAAGTACCATGGAGAGGAGGTGAGTTGAGCAAAACCTTAACATACCGGGAGATGTTTTGGATCTATACACTTAAGACCCTGATCCCCTCGGGTCTTAATGCAGAGCTGGAACTAGCTAATATACTATAGCATGGGATCAGCATTAATACCGGCCCATGCTGTAAATCATATATACAATATTTAGTTAATTGCCCTATTTTTTTAGTGTCCAGATTAAGGTAGTAATTTATATGCCCAAATGGTTGGGAATCCTAGATCTATATTGTTCTATTGCTGTAAGTACTGATATTACTAAGAATTTTATATATATATTTTATAGAGAATTATATAATTTTTGATTGATATGTTAGGAGTTCCTATAATATAGAAACATATACTATTATGAGATGCCTTATCTTGTTTTTACTGTATTAGACATAGTTTATTATGCCATAAGTCTATACCAGCTAGTACATTCTTCTTTTTACAGTTCTAGAGATACAGTCTGCTATTAGGTTTCTAACTTGATGAAAACTACTGATAAATTTATATATTCTGTGGTCATCTGTGAAGAATGTAATTATTATTATTTACACATCATGATCAAGTAATACCCATGATATTATAAGAGTTAGGAGATTGATATCCAGGAGTGAGATGTATAAACATGTATATAGCAATCACTGTTATAGTGATTGTTTTATGTTTTGGATCTGTGTATAAATTCATTATTATTTTTTTTGTAGTTTAGTTTTTATATAGACTGTATCAGGTCAATATTGTGTTTTATGTGCAGTATTTTATATCTATTTTTGGGAAGTATTTTGTCCTTGTTTATACAAATTGCAGCTTTTTTTATATGTTTTTCTTTTTACATGTGATTTAAGAGGGGTATATACCCTTAAGAGATTTGAATTTGTTTTACCCGGCAAGTATAAAACTGCCGAATAATGCTCCGAGCACCTATCTTGAAAAAGCCCTCGTTAGCAGGGCGAAACGCGTTGATAGGGTGCCACTACTGTCTATCTGCAAGATTTATCTGCGGCAGACACTTTTAGTAATCTACAGAAGCCGGACTTTCAGTTAGCGTTCCTCCATAGAAGACATCACAGGCAGCCCTCCTGAGTGCACCGGAGAGGAGCTGCCCCGGGGGAAAAACACGAGCGGCTCTGAAAGAACTTTATCAGCTACTTCTACTATGATGAGTACTAAATTTTATCTAATGTAAGAGTTTTGAAGTTGGGGTGGATTTTTTCCATTTGTATTCTGGGCAATAAATTTTGATACAGTATCACGCTATGTATCTTTTTTTGTTTCTTTTTTCTCAAGGTATCCCTACATGCTTTTGAGTTTCTACATATCACAACGTTATTTGGACTTTCTCACTATAGGACTTTGTTACAGAACTATATATTTTGGACACTTTTCTCTGCCTGATTTTTTCATTTTTTGCATATGTATGCACCTTTTTTATTTCTAAGGGGATTATCTACTTAGCGCTGAAATTTTTATTTACATTTGTTTTTTGGAATTGGGAATATTCTTTTTGTTTTAGCAGCTATTACTGTTTGAGTACATTGGGTACTATTTTTTATAGTTTCATTTTTGAATATATATAGACTATTACATAGGTTTTTTACTTTGTAATACATGCGCTCTCTTTTTAATCATTTATAATATATATATATATAGTGATATATACGTATATATATATGTATATAGATATATATATTTCGTTCTACATGTATTTTGATATAAATATATATATATTAATATCACAATACAGTTAGAACGAAATAACACACATCTATATATTTTTTAATTATTTATTTTGAATTATTCTTATTATTTTATTTTTTAACGTATTTACATATTTAATTTTTTATTATATATAAATATATATATAACAGTAATTATATAAATATATTTAATCAGTATCAGTCTACGTGTAATTTGATAATATATATATATATATATATATATATATATATATATAATTATATATATATATATTAATAGTAAAATACACCTAGACAGTGTATGTGTGTGTATGTGTATATATATATTTGTATGTGTGTGTATGTGTATATATGTATGATCTAGATATATATTTATTTATTTTTTACACTTTTTAACTTTTTATTTCTAGCCAGCAGGGGGATCACCTGTCATTACAGGCAGCCCCCCTGCTGGCAATGCTGCAGCCAGCTATCCCGGCCATGTGATTGTGAGGTCCTCGCAAGGCGTTTAGAGCCGCCTAAAATAGGGCGTAATAGTACACCCTCCGGTCTTAAGGGGTTAATAGTAATTGAGCAGTTCGATCAGGAAAGTGGAAGCTCTCAAGGGTACGTTAGTTGCTATATAAGCCAATTCCAGTGGCGGCTGGTGATGTTCCAAGATGGTGGGGGGCCAGACTCATCCCCAGAATTGTATGCCTCCCCGCACAGTACAGAGATACTCAGAGTGCTGAACATAATGCAGAGATGCTATATCAAACAAGCTGGGCACAACATAAACATATCTATAAAATAGACCTAAGAACAAAAATAGACATATAATACACAAAGCTCAACACAAAAATGCCTATACAAAACTGAGCAGATTACAGAGACGCCCATACAACAGGTAGTGCTGAGTAAAATACAGATAAATAACAGAGCTGGGCACAATAAGGAGATATTCATAACTAGGATTATCCAATCCACCATGTTTTCAGGGACACATAATTCTATCAAATGTATGAATATGCATGAAAAGGGTTGCCCTACAGTTTGTATAATGCATATTCTGCAGGTTTCTTCATTGCCTAATTACTTAATCGTTTGCACCTTCTAAATTTTACATACTACAGGATAACCTTTTTCCTGTGCTGCCCATCAATATGTATACTTGATAGGTGTCCCTGAAAACATGGAGAAAATGATAATCCTACTCAACACTATCCCACATAGCCAGGATCACTGTGATTGATTACACAGAGCTGCAATACAGAGATCCACACACAGTGCACTTCTCTGTATAATGCTCCAACTCTCTCTGTCTATCTTCCTAACCCACTCTAGCTGAGCTGTGCATATACACACTGCCCCCTATATTATATACACACACACACACACTGCTCTCCTCACACATTGCCCCTCTCACACACACACACACACAATATTGCCCCTATCCCGGCCGGCCCCAGGTAAGTTGTGAAACTGTATTTTTTTTTTTTTTTTTTACGGGTTGACTCCTTACTCTGGGAGGGTGCCACGGCACTCCTGGCACCATAACTACTAGAGAGAGCTGTAGTGGTTATTGTGCCTGTACGGTTTCTTTAAATAAGCTGTCAATGCCCCTCCTGAAATTAGGTTCTGGATATGCCCCCTAACGCAGTGTACACAGGATTTAAGCAGCAAGATACTGGTATACTCTTTATTAACATTGCAACCAGCAATATCAGTCTATGAGGCTATGTATCAATGAGCTTGTGTGTGTCAGTGAGATTGTCTGTGTCTGCATTTGAGTATACTTACTGTATAATTAAACATTTTACTCTGAAAGGACCAATATTATATATTAGAGAAAGCAATATATATTCGATATATATATATATATATATATATATATATTACACAAGATCCAGCGCACTCACCTATCCACTAAAGAGCAACTTCAATGTTGAAAGATTTTATTAGGTTTTTTAAAAACACCTAATCTAGGCAAAAATAATGGGGGTTTAGTTACATTATATGATCATACATTGCATAAGCCTGCCACAACGTCAATGTACCTTATCTTTGGCAGGTCCTACACTAACAGCCTAATGTCTGCTCTTATGAGATTAACCACTTACTTGAGGAGAAAAAAAAATTCCATCTGGGGCCCTCTGCAGTACAAGGCTAAATAGGGCCCTGGGATGAGGCACCTGTGACAGGGAGGGGTGCAAAACCAAGGAGTTGGCTAGACTCCCAAATATATATATATTAAACAAGAGGGGGTTGGCTGCACTCACCTGAACACGCATAAATGGGGGTGCTGCTGGGGGCCAAATAATACAATACACAAGATCCAGCGCACTCACCTATCCACTAAACAGCAACTTTAATGTTGAAAGATTTTATTAGTTTTTTAAAAACACCTAATCTAGGCAAAAATAATGGGGGTTTAGTTACAGTATATGATCATACATTGCATAAGCCTGCCACAATGTCAATGTACCCCATCCTTGGCAGGTCCTACACTAACAGCCTAATGTCTGATCTTATGAGATTAACCACTTACTTGAGGAAAAAAATTCAATCTGGGGCTCTCTGCAGTACAAGGCTAAATAGGGCCCTGGGATGAGGCACCTGTGACAGGGAGGGGTGCAAAACCAAGGAGTTGGCTAGACTCCCAAATATATATATTACTCAACCATCTGGGGTGGCAAGACATTGCCTTACATATGGCAATATATGGCGCAATGACTTATGGGACTGACATAGATTTTTTTTTCCAGGGCTGCTTTGTATCCCCAGTTCGGTCCTGCCCCTGGTGTTATATATATGTTATATATTTGAGTAAATTCCCTTGCTCAATCAGCTCTGAGGCAGTCACTGGGCCCATTTGGGGAAAGAAAAAATATATATATACGCTTCCATTTGGCTGGGGTCAGGCGCTGCTGCTGTGCTCTCCCTGTGCTACTTCCAAAAAGCTTCTTGCTTCTCTCTCCTGTGGGCACTGTAACCCCACTCCCTGGTGCTATGAGCCACTGACGGTCCCTGAAAAGAAAGGCCAATAGCATGCTACCACTCATGAACAGGTGGCTCCCCTGCCCAAATGGAAACAAAATGGAAATCCCTTCTTAAAGGAAAGCATGTGCAAAACCTGCTGAAACTGAGCAGATTTCAAACCAGCCCTATTTTTGGACTGCATTGATGCTCTCAAGTAAGCTTTTCCAAACAGCTACCAATGAGGGGGAGGGACCCTGCAAAACAGAAACTTAACACAAAACTAAAGAGACACTTTAAAAAAATGTGGCTTACTATCCTCCCCTCAATAAAAATTATGTTTCTAACTACTAGAAATAATATTTTACCCCACACAAAAACAGGTGGGGTGCTGCCCACTGCCCACGAGCCTCCACTGCCCCGTTCTCTGTAACCACCCACTTTGGCACAGCTGCATAGGAGAAGATGCATGTGGGACTATGGCTCAAAGAAGAGGCTGCAATATTTTCCCTTTGTTGCAATTGGCAGCATCTGTGAAAAATGATATCTGTCTATTCCAACCAGAGTGCGTGGGCAGGTGAGCTTTAAAGGCCTGAAGAAGAGGTTGATGAGGAGAGCTGCTACATCCATAAAGCGTGGTCAATATATGCTTGAAATCCCTTGACAGCACTCTTCATATATTCTGCCTTCCCAGGATCCACTACTGTAGTGGTTTTTAATCCAGTTCCTAAAGCACACCATCAGTCCAATATTTAGGCATTTTCCACCTCTATTCCCTTACCTTGATATGCCATGTGACGTGGGCTGAGAACCACTGTTCTAATGAGCAATATGGAACTTGCACTTTTGTTTACATTGCTTATAGTAAGCTATATTCCTGCCAGTAAGTGAGAGGGGGATGTATCTGTGTATAACATTTTAGAGGATATGTTACTCTATCAAAGGTATGAAAGCATTGTATGTGCAGGTGGTTATTGGCTATTGTAAGTTATAGTGAAGTATGGGTGTTGTGTAGTTTAGGGTGTTCAGTAGTACAGAATAGGTGACATACTTTGTATGAGGTATAAAAAATTTTTGTCACAATAAATAGGTGCTGTGTGGTTGACAACACATGGCTTTCGTAACCGGTTATATAGTGAGAATTACAATGTTCAGACGCAATATCTTAGTTAGCAGGATTTCATTTTATGACCCTATAGTTTATTAAAGCTACAGGAAAGGCTAGAAAGCAGCAGGGGTAAATTAATAATCAGTTTTATAAACATGGGGCTAGCAGGGACATGCTTTTGCTAAAAAGTATAAGATCAGTGAGGACTGTAATTTGTATCTAAAACCACGAGCCTGTGTAAATCTTCATATAGCATATTGGACCTTGGGTCTTTACAGCCCAAAAGGGACATCTGCTCTAAATCTGTCCCTGGTCATCAATCAAGAAGGGAGGAGTGTTGGAACACAATTTAAGAGTATCCAGGAGGCTGTATACAGCTTTGTTTTAACTTACTGATACAATTCTCAATATTAACATTTTAAAGTGGACAGATTCCTAAAATTCTTCTTTTCCATTTTTGTTTAGATTGGATTTAAGTATTTTGTCTCTGTTTGCATATCTAGAATATTTATGAAGAGTTATAATGGAATAACGGGAATTGAATACATACAATGCAATAAACAGAGAGTGAACTAGATAGTACCTTTAACTCCTGCAGCTATAAAACATACATGTTTGCAGGGAGAAAAATCGACATCACAAAATTCTAATCTGACATGTATATTCAAAGCCCCCACCTTGTGTCTTGCCAAGCTAACATTCACTTGTTACTTGATTTGGCAGATAGACTAAGTATCAATAAATGCCAACTGCAATCCTATAGTCGAGACCTACCGGATACCGCACTCATCAAATAACCCAGGTGCTCCGAAGCCAGGGCTGGCCTGGACTCCCTTCCAACAAATGCAGAATAAATAAAGGTTCAGGAACTCCA